GTGGCAACCATATAGAATACTATAATACACAATAGAATGGCTGTCAAACTTATTTTATACTAGGATCGGTGTCGCCGGGAGCACACATACAAGCAATTACGTCGTATTAACAGATTAACAGACGGAGTAAATTTACATATTATCGTTTAAATTTTAATTTTAATACATATTTATTTGTAAATAGCGTGCAATTTGGTATTTTCTAAATAATTTTCATGCGAAATTTGGAAACGATTGTTACGTCGAAACACATCTCGTGTTGACATTTATACGTGTGCCCACTCCCCCATATTATTATGTATGTATTATAGTGTTCTATGGTGGCAACTATGGCAAAATTCACCTATGGGGCAATCTATGGAGGTTTTGATCAGCAATGGACTTTTATATGCTGTTAATATTAATTAGACTTTTATATAGTAATGTGTGTTGTTTTTCCGTACCTACTGTTTATATTTTCCGTTTTAAAAATTTTAAAGTAAGTTGATGAATAAATGCATGTCTGTTGTTTATATTTAGAGTAACATTAGTCTTGGTAGCTCATTTGGTTAGCACTCGCTGAGCAAACCGGGTTCGATCCCCGCCGTCACCCATGAAATTGTAAATTGCAATTTAAGTGCTGATTTATCACGTGCTCGACGGTGAAGGAAAACATCGTGAGGAAACCTGCATGTGTGAGAAATAAGAAAAAAATATTTCGATGGCATGTGAAGTTCGCTAACACGCATAGTAATTTTGGCCAATATGGCGCATCTGTCGAGCACTTTCTGAAGTACTAAGTAAGTATATAACAGTATATAAGTATGTAAGTATATTAAAATCGTATATCAATGGAAACTTTATTAAATAAGCTATCAGATTATGCGTAACAGATATATACGTTATATATATATATATATATATATATATATATATATATATATATATATATATATATATATATATATATATATATATATATATATATGTTATATATATCATATATATGTTACAAATAGTTTGCTATCACTCGACGCCATATTATGGCGTTTGACAGATGCGCATATTATTTGAGACACCAGAATATGGCGTTTGGACAGACGAGGGGATATACGCTTTAACATTACTTTTATATTTAATTATATTATTGGTTGAGCAAGTGGATGTTTATGTATTCGGGATTTTATTTAGCAGGGTTGGTAGATATGATAAGGATATAGAACAACGAGTGAATTCTGGGAATAGAGTAAATGTCTACATTCTGTTTGTGGGAATTCAGAACGTATCAATAAAAGGCACGTATGGTTATTCACAATGCTGTGTTATGGGTATGTTAATGGGTGTGGCAGTAGAAGCGCGAGATTAGAATAAACGCAGTAGAAATGCGGTCATTCAGGAGTATGTTAGGGCTGAATCTGAATGACAGGGTGAGAAATTATGTGATATGCGAATGAAAAAGTGTGGTTTTCAAGATGATGTTGTGACCAGGATTAAGAAAGGCATGCTTCGGTGGTTTGGTCATGTGGAAAGAAAGATCGAGGAAAGAATGACAGTTAATCTATGTTGCAGAAGTGAAAGGCAAAGGCGGGAAGGGACGCCCGACACGAAAGTTTATCGACCATGTTGGCGATATGTTGAAAATGGGCCAAGTTAAGATTACCCTGAAACGACGAACATGTATATGGATGTAAAAAAGGCGAGAAAGGTGTGTTAGGTTAATGCCAAATGGAAGCCCGTCGTCTGCCTACCCCTCTAGGTGACAGGCGTGCGTGAGTTTTTACGTTATATAAATAAATATAAATTGTTAGATATTGTGTTTGATTAAAATTTGAGAGAAAATAAAAAACTTTTTTGTCAGGCATTGGTAGTAGGCGAAAGGTGTTGTCCGTCACAATAAAACATCCAAGTGGTATTTCATATTTTTTATCTTTTACATTTTACTTCGGTGACCGTAAACGAATTTTTCTACATCGCTCCATCATTTCACTTCAAATACACGATAGAATGATTCTAAGAACATAAATATTTTTCGTATTATTTTAAGATCAAATAGATAATCTTTTTTACATCCTAATGTAACGATATCATTAATTTAATTTGTCATTATATTAGGCAAAATACAACAAATTAAATTACACAACTTATATAATTAATTATACTCTTTATCGGAGAACAATTATTCTAAAAGGATAAATCATTGCAATTACAATATTTATAAATACTCGTAACAAAAACTGAAGGAACTAAATATTTGAATCTACTAAAATAATTCAATCACAAGTTTTATCAACTAAACATAATATTTAAGATTCTTAAATTTATGTACCTATTACACTTTACGTACTTACATTTGGCTCCTAATGAAAATTGTTGTTAAACTGTAGCAGTGGAAATGTGCTTTACTTTCTAGTAATATAGATTAAAAATGAAATAGGTATTATGATAAATTAAGAAAGACTAACACTTAGAAAAAATTGTCAGGAACTTCCAATTATCAAAACAAAGTAGTTTTAAAGCAAGTTGATAGCTCAATGATTGTAACATAAAGGGAACATGGTAAATTAAACTGGAATTTTGCACGAAAATGAAGTCCGTAAAACGTACCTATTTTTAATAATCATATCTTCTATCGTCGTACATATTATTAACAAATATAACAAAACTTAATTAAAACGTTTCAATTAAAACTTTAACAAAATCACTCTAATACTGCTGAATTTGTACAAATTAGGTAAAAATCGATAATCGACAACACAATATTTTGATCACATGTCACAACACAAGTTTAAAATAGAGGCATATCATATATGTGTAGACAGGTAATAAATAAATGAAGCAAGAGAAAATGGTTGCTGAAGACAAAGATTAAGACCTCAAATACAATTTTGGCACATCTAATATTTCACACCATCGAATCGTTTTGTTTTCCTGAACGTCTGTTACTTATTTTACATTACTAGATATTATTTGCAATTGTGTTTACAAAAGTTTTGTGACTTATGTTAGGATTTTTTATTCTGAAACTCGGTTGTTATTTAAGTGCCAGTCAAAGTGTAAATCAAGCAAAAGACATAATTATTCAATTTTACAATTCTTTTAATATATAAAATCCCTGTAATGACAATATTGTTACATAATGACGTGACACTAAGTGTGAACTACTGCATTTGCGACTCATTTCTGCTCAGAGTTACTGTGATAATGTGTATTGTACAATTATATAAAATATAGTCGTAAATAGTGTTCAGTCTTCTGTTAAGAGTTTTGTGGTTTTGTAATATGTAACGACGACTACGGTAAATTTATATCGATAGTTCATGAGGGACTCATTCGCGGAAATAATTCCGTTCAAAATCACTCAGTTTCACTCAGAATTGAATAAATTATACATCATTGATTCGTAATATCTACAACACAAATAGATTTTTATGTATCGGTTATGTTAATGTATCTAGTTTTATTTGGAAGAAAAAACATTAAACACTTTTAATATAACTACAAATTAGTGACGTTAACTAAACCACATTTATATTTTTAACCCCTTTAGTGGCGGTTTAATGACGTCACATGTATCACTAATTATGAATCGATTGTATACATTTATCTAAAGCCAGGTTGGAATGAACCATTTACCCTAAACCTTCGTATTATTCACTAAAAATCTTGAAAGCTCCTTTTTATTTGAACATTGAGTGCAGATACTTTATTTGTCTAAACCTGGCGCGCACTGTCATGGTAATGTTATTACGTCTTGATAACGTCGATGCGGTTGAATTTATTATCTGTGATTGAAAACTTGCTTACGTCACGTTGCCGACGGGACCACCCGAAGAGATGCGGACCTATGCGAATGAGATTACGAACTGCTCAAGAGCTGCGAGTTCGGGGCACATTTAGTATATTACCCGATTTTATTTATCTGTGCGCCTTTTAACTCAGTAGTCTCATTTCCCTAATAATTATATACTGTTGAAATAAAAAAATTAGTACATTGGTTAAAATTTTAAAACGTTGATATTTAACGGTTTTATGTGGGCATGTGTGTGACTAGTGCGTCGCGGATTTCCCTCTAACCTGACTGCGTCATTTATCGACACGTCGATCTTCGAGCAGTTCACTGTATTCACTTCACTAAAACTACAACAATTACAAATACACTACTATTTACCATTAAGTGAATGTCTCCTTATTTAATGGTTAATTCAATTGTAATTTTATTTAATTTATCAATAACTATTTACAATTAAAACTGTTTATCATCGAATAATATTTATTATTACGAAATATTTTACAAACTTTGGTTAAAATTAGAAGTCAACTCACACATATAACATATCTACATTGGGATATTTTAAAATAACGTTTATAACCGGCAAGAACGTAGTTGAGAGTTGCTCTTGAATCACTATAAAGTAATATCTTCAATTGATATGAATTAATATCTAAATAAATTATAAGGAATGTTGATTTGGAATGTTAACAACAGAGAGACCACGTCGACGTCGCCGCCGGAGCGACATTTAACAACAATCACAACACCTTTCATACTTATTGCACTCCTTCGGAATAATAAATTATCGCCTATAACTTATACGCGAAATTTAAATATACATTTACAATATTAACACATCTTTTTAATATAAATTTAACTAATATTAAACACGGACGCCGCTTCGCTACGGAGGTGCTTAACGTACTTTCTAATATATTGTTCGACTGTACGAGCGAAACCGTAACTCTTTTAGTGTATTCGAGTAGTTCTTTGAAATTTATCTTCAAGATTATATTGCACGTGATAACTCAAAGGTTCTGTTTGGAAGCAGAATTTTAGAGACTCAATACACTAATGATGTTCCAGTTTCGCCGTCGTTCTCCGTTATTTACGAGCTCTAAGTCCACCGTTAAAGTTCAGTTTAAAATGCGTGTAACAAATATTGAGATAAAAAATTAGATAGGGCCGCCGATGGCATTGGCTATAGAAATTCTAAGTTGTCTTTGCTAACACTGTTGATGGGGATGATTTAGTCTTGACCGTTGTGATGGAGAAGGGTGCGGTTGTCGGGCGGATGCGAAGGGTGCGCGGGCGTGCGGTAAGATTCCCCCTCTTCGTCCGCAGAATTCTCTTTTGACCTGTCGCTTTTACAATCTTCCTCCTTCGTAACCCCTGATAATGAATCTAACGCCATCGGCATCGACTGGTAAAGATCCCTGGCTTTGTCATTCGGCGGTAGTAGATGAAGCATGTTCAACGGCATCGGGAACCCGGGTGGGAACTCCGGGTAGAAGCCCTGCTGGAACGGATTGAACATTGGATTCGAGGTGATATCGGGCTCCGAACTCGCTGGTCTTTGGCTTGTGTTCTGATGCTGGTCGTCCTTATCGTGGTGCTTGTTGGGAGGGTGGTTATTGTTGTTGTTTCCGGAGTTTAGAGTTAACATATCCAGCGGTCCGCCGATACAATCTTTCCTCAGCTGCTCTAGTTTTAGGCTCTTCCCGTATTTACCGCGCACGTACATTAGAAGTGAGTTGTAAGGGATACCGAAGATTCTTGATGCTTGGCTTGTGGTCATCTTTTTGTTCCAGACGTGTTGGAGAGCCTCTGTCAGCTCGGCGTTAGTCCAGGATCGTGGTGGACCGCCGCGTGGAGCGCTATGCTGCCCTTTCGGTCGCCCTGTAAACAAAATTCAAATTTAAAAAACAAACCCCGAAACTTTGAAGATAGATCTGACAGTTGTCTGCAATTCGATATCTATCACATATCTCACCATTCGTGCCCGTAAGGGGTTGTAACGCTTAAACAAACCCTTAAAGATGTCGAAAAGTTCTTTGCATATATTACGAAATGCTTAGTTTGTTAATTGCATTACAGGGGTAGAGTTTAGTGATTTACGAGCGCCGAAGTGCAGGCGAGGGCACGACATGTGCCGTGTGCCAGCCGGCATTACCCAATGCAGCTATCTAATAACCGTATTTTGGCTGAAGCTTAACTTGGCTGCGACACACGGCGAAATGAGCGGGTTGCGGCGACGCGCCTGGATCCCTCATTAATTCGCAACTCGCACGCGACTTTAACGGCGACTATGTCAAAAAGAAAAGCGGACGCGCACAGCGACGTCGCCCCACGTTAGCTTTACAGTTTTATAATTTCAACGGATCACGTTAACTCGATGCCGATCCGATAGTATGTTTCGGATCATTTGCGGAATCTTGTTTTATTATGGAAATTAGTTTTTCTTTTAATAGACGTCACGGGTCACGCGAGGCCGCGCACCGCGGAAAATTAAAAGGACGTTTCCCATTTAGATGGCTCGTTAACGTTTTACAGAACAGCGTCGAGCATGTGATGCCGTATAGAGTGATGTCGCTAATCGATCGACGAGTATTGTGTGAGCGTAGGGTTGTAGATACTTGGTTTAAATAACAACATTGTTTTAATATTCGAGTAACTTGACGCACTTTTGGTTTTAATCACAGTGACATCGTACGGTTATTTTTAAAATTAGTCGTCATCATAAATTATGTATCTCTTAAAACTTTGCACGTACAATCTAGGCGCGGTTGAAGAGATTTTCTGGCGAGATTAAATAAAAGAAAATATGCCCGTGTGGTACTGGGAAAAGAAATCCATTATATCTTAATCCGTTACTTCGTACACTGTCTCAAAAATACGAGACCTAAAGAGAATTAGATCCGATTAATGTATCCTAAATGAGTTCATCTTTTAAATTTCATAAAGAGAATGAGTTGCGAAGGTGTATCCTAATCCTAAATGTGTTCATCTTTTAAATTTCGTAAAGAGAATGAGTTGCGAAAGTGTATCCTTTACTTAGGTATGCTTTTTTTGGATATAAAATATTTACTATCGATTAAAACCTAAACGGCCTATAGTAAAATTACAGCAATTTTTCAAATTCATTAACAGCCTTATGTCTGAAGCGACGATGACACCAGGAGCATTCAAAGCATACGTTAGACTCGCCGTCTGTTCCCCTATAAGATACACTATCAGATCGTCTTAATAAACATTTACGGGGAGACAATACCTACGCTTAGCGTTCGCGGTATCTACACTACCCCTAGTGTAGATTATTATACCGCCACTCATAAAATTTAAGATTAGTTTATTGTTATTCATATTTTTAATTGGAAGTACTTTAAACTTACATGAATAACAATAAAAAACGAAAAGCGAAATGAGATGGAGAGAAAGGCAGGACTCACATTTCTTCTTGACGTTGGTGAATAGCTGAGCGTCGAGCGGCGGCCCGCGGTGCTCCACGTCCATCAGCGGGTACATCTTATGCTCCATGCCAGGCGGGAACAAGCCCAGTGGCGAATCAATGCCGAACACTGCAAAAGATTAATTACATTTTAATCACTATTATACCTCACGTTGACAGCGAAAGTAGCGAAGTAGATCATGTGGTCCTGGGTATCTCAAAATAAATTATTGTGTTTTTCTGTCATGAAATTCTCAATGGTGTCCCGGAGTCAGAAATTTGGTGGTGTTTCACCCGCGTGCCTGGGAGAGCATTGAAAACCGTTGATCCTGATCCTAACCCTTCTCCGGCCGTTTTGGATTGCAGTTCTATCGGACTATTAGAGGGAATATAGTGTGCACCTGCACTTGCACAAAAACTCATGCGCTACAATACTCTCCTGCGTAGATGGCTACTCTCAGATGAGACTGGCCACATTACATTTAAAACTACAAATAAGTTTACAGTAGTATTTTGATGGTATTACCCGAACGGTCTATCAGACAAAAAAGTTTCTATCACCTTGTTCACTTGACCGTTGCTTTCTGTAAAGATTCTTTATATTTACGCCAATAATTAACTACACATTAAATATTAACTTAAATTAAAAGAATTAAAACCTCCGAAACAAAAAGCGCTAATGATTTTCAAACAGTATGAACCGATTTTCTTGAAACAGCTAGAACACTCTCGATAAAACACCATTCAAAAGATTTTTTTAGACAGACACAGATACAGCGCTATACATACTACAAACTTACACTAACACCCCTGTGTTTTCATCGTGAGTTAAAACTAATCTAATTTCAACTTATTTTATAAAAAGTTTATAAAACGCGATGAAATTAATCATTATCCTGTAGAGAAGTTGCAATGAATTAAAATTTTCTTAAATATAATTTTTGAATAGCAATATCCAATATCATACGAACGTACAGACCTGGAGCAATTATTTATAGACAATAAAATATAAAGCTATTTATTTATTTCAAAAATCTCATTAAATTCCTCTAGAAAGCTTTTAAATAAATACTTTGATAAGTTAAGAAGGGGTTTCATATATTCCTTTACGTTACAGACTATATTTTTTATACGAAATATGAAAATTGAATGGTAAGTATTTGTGACAGTTTTTGGAGCAACGCCCATGTTTGGGAGTAATATTTAGGATAATGATGTCGTTCACGAATAAAGCAATTTTATTCATTATTAAAATGTTCTTTATTTGGTTCACATTATTACTAATACGTTTCGCATTGTAACGGTATTGATTGAAGTAAATAACATATAGTGAAAGGCACTGCCGCCGTGCAACCACGCTACAGAACCTTGGAATGAGTATCTATATATCTAATCCGTCTACTCGATACGAGATGGCGCTACAAGTATTTTTGCAGACGTTATTGAAGAAACGAAATAATTTTTTTTATAGAACAGGGGGCAAACGAGCATACGGTTCACCTGATGTTAAGTGACTACCGCAGCCCATGAACAATCGCAACACCACGGGAATTACAGGTGCGTTGCCGGCCCTTTAGAAAGGAGTAAGCTCTTTTCTTGAAGGTCCCTAGGTCGTATCGGTCCGGAAAAATCGCAAGTGGTAAATTATTCCACAGAGAGGTTGTACGCGGAAGAAACCTCCTAGTGAAACGTACAGTGGTGGACCGCCAAGCATCCAGATGGTGTGGATGGTATCGGGAGGTTATGAATTAAGTTATCTTTTGTATATTTTTAATATATTCAAAATTAGTATTTATATAACAGGGAAATAAATAATATTAATAGTTTTAACCGGTTTTCGTGAAATACGGTCAATAAAAGAGTACAGCTGGACATGGGACTTTCCAGTTATAAAATTTGCCTCAATCGTCATCGTGATCCTGAGCACCTCTGGAGCTACTGACCGTCACTGGTCTAGATTTTTGTATCTGAAGTAAACGATATAACATTCTTACGTTTACGCGAACACCACATTTAAATAAAACTAGTTTTTACGGATTTCATCGCGTAAATTAACTTATTTAATATTCGCGACGTTTCGAGCACTTTACAGCACCCATGATCACGGGTCAGACTAAGGTGTTCGACTCCTCATCTCAGACTCACGTCGAAATGAAATAACCATCTTTAGGAAGTCATAATATTTTACTGACGTTACCCGTGGCTGTCTTTTCTGACACCTGCGGAACTAAATGATCTATGGATTGTATTGTATCGTCATCACATAACAAATTATTTGTACATTCCCATATAAAATTTCATTAGTACAAGATCAGAAAAGGCCTCGCATAAAATGTTAGAGAAACGACACCAGACATAATTATTTACCTGCGTTTGAATCTGAACAATAGCAGATAGGTTTGTGGGTTCTGAATCAACCAATATTGATAACCAATAATTTATAAGATGCCTAAACTTTTACATATATTTTCATACATTTTAACATACATTACATATATTTACTACATATATTCGAACGAAACATGAATAAGGTAAACATTTTAAAAAGGTCATTGTGATCAAGCGAACAAATATATAAAATTATAATTTATAAACATCTTTAGGCCTTTATTGAAATATTTAATTTTTTTTTATTTCCTTTAAAAGTACATCATTGTAAAAATTGTATGTGAGAAGCAGCCAACGATTTATCTTTTCAGAACATTATACAGTCGTAAATCGGATCAGCGCAAGTAAATAGTTAGTAGTTGCAAGAGAGGTGACGTCCGGGAGCTAAATGCGACAAAATCGATACCTGATTTATTGAGCTGTCCTAGTGAGTTAGCATTGGTACTGCTAAATTCTATAAGTTTCATATTTTACCGTTCGATAAATGTTGTCTTATTTCCCGACACAAAAAAACTTTCTGTTAGGGTTATATTCAGTTTACAATAATATAATAATAATAATAATGAAACTTTATTTATTTAAAAGTGTTTGTAGTACATGAGTGGGATATAACATCGTTTGTACTATCTATAAAATATGTTCGTCAATCTAGTCTAGTGGATATAGCTCTGCTCTCCTAGCCAGGTCAGCCATAATGGTAGGTATATAATAAGTACATGCTTACATGCAAGTGCTAGAAACTAAAATTATAACAGTTTCTAGTTATTCAAAGTATTAATAAATTGAGAAATGTATGCGTTTGTATGTGTGTGCGTGTGCGTGTGTGTGCGTGCGTGTTTGTGTGAGAGTTTATAAACACCGTCACCCTTAATCGAATAAAAAAATAGTTCGGGTATTTTAACATATGATAATTGATAACTAGGCACTTTAGCAATTTATGACAAAGTAATATAAGTCATTATGTCATTTAATACACAAATGAAAAACAGAAAATTATATAAACGAAGTAAAACTTATTCAACTTATTAAACTGTACAAATTTATAAATTAAATAAATACCCCGTTGGAAATACAGTTTTACTGTCAAAAAATATATATAGCATGCTAATTTCAGTTAAGCTCTACCTAATTCGTCAAAAACCTTACTATTCGACAGACGCAGACTGACTGTGGAAAACATTAAAAACAAAACATGGCTATGACTGATTGTTAGATCATTGATTAAAACATAGTTACCTAGTTAATGTTAATCAAACTTACATGAAAGTGTAATCTTTTTAGCAAAAACGCCTAAAAAAACTTAATAGTGTATGTGTAATTTACTTATAACTATAAAAAAAATTGTGGGCAAAGGCCTTGTCTAATTTATGAGGGTTTAAGGATAAAGTTTTAAGGTTTAAGGATATGGATATGACTTTTTAATTCATCAGAAAAATAGGTTGCCGAGAACTCCTTTACTGACGAGTACTAAATCAGCACTTAAAATTGCATTAAACTTTCAGCAAGGGCTAGTTGAGTCCAGTTTGGATTGCTCGCGCATATACATTTTAGAAAGCGCTTAACCTCACAGCTACTAGGTACTGCAAATGTTTTCATTGATGCTTTTGTTATGTAAAAAAATTGGTTGTCCCTGCAGGCCTTCCACAATTATCATTATTGATATTATTATTAATATTAAGTATAAAAAACTAAAATTCCTGTGATAAATATGTGTATGTAGTAACTGTACGTAGATACAGTAATGCATGCGACGGAATTTGCTTAATATAATGTCTTATATGAACGCAGGTGGACAACTGTGTACTGCGTCATTTTTGGGCAGGACTACGTTCAGCAGTGGACTTGTGAAGTACTGTAATAATGATGAGTCTTAAAAGAATCAGTTGACCTAATAAAGTTCAAAATAAAAACGAATTGCGTTAAAAGAACTTTTTCTAACAATATATTCCTATTCTATTTAAAAAAAAATCAACCAGGTTCAAATTATTGTTGAGCTTTTCAAAAAGTCGTAAATTGTATAATGTTTAAATTAATCCTTTCAGTCTAATAATAAAAAATGAATGTCTTCGGTATTCTGAACTTTTTACTAATCAATAAACTAAATATTGCAATTTTATTGACATAATAATAAACAGCATAACTAAACTGGAAATATGCTTAAAAACAATCTTAAAGCTAATAAGTAGATACTGATTAGGTCACCGAGTACAGTATGCCGCATTATAACATTATAAACTCTACTACATTAATGATTAAATTTAATTGGTCTATAAAACCAGCTTTGAATAAAATTTGAACTTAGTCGGTGTAATGTAGCGCGCTTTGATTATGTATTTTATTTTAACAGCTATGGATAAATGAAGTTATATATTACTAAAAATACACTAATGAAACAAAAAGGAAGAAATAATGATGACACCTTTTACGAAACATTACGAATAATATTTATAACTTTTTGTCCCTAGATGGCGCTGATCAAAAATAATGACGCATCAAAAGCTTTTGCCTTATAACATTAATTTGGAACCTTTTGGGAAAGAAATGAATATACAATTGCTTAAAAATTAAATAAGTGCTGGTAATTAAAAGCACGGAGGAGTTTAACTCTAGGTCGGTTAATATACTGCAATGGTATAAAAAGTTCATTTAAATTTAGTGCGACGGGACTACAGTGTTGCTCTTCGGTTTGTAACTAGAAATGGGAAGTGCGATAGTTGGAAGCTGAACTTTAGAGTTTCGACA